GGGCGGGGGGGGGGGTGTATTAAAAAAAAAAAGTGACACCCAAACCATCAGTCTGAGCCACATTCCAGAATTCCTCCACATCATGTTTCCTGATTTATTCTGAATAATCTAGAGGAGAAACTTGTGAATTTTAGCCTGTGAAATTTACATTTTTTTACACTTCTAATCCTGGAGAAGGTTGTGTTCTTTTTATATTCATACAAATGGTTTTTAGTATTGTTTGTTATAGTTATCTAAACTACTTTATTTTTTCTTTTTGTTTAAACACCACCCCCCATGCAAATTACATTTCTTTCCAGAGAAGAGATTTCACCGAGAACCTTCAGAAAAGAAAAGTGAAATGTACCGGACCAATGAATCTATCATCTGCCTTTTTCTCAACCTGGATGCTCCAGATTCCAACATTCTCAGCATTTTATTTAATTTATTCTAGTACTTATGTACTGCTGTATTCTAAGAATTCTGATTATGCTGCCAGGAGAATTCTGGGAATTGAAGTCCACCCTAACTGGAGGGCTTCCAAGTTGAGGAAAGCTGGCCTTGCCCGTCTGTTAGGTTTAACACTTCAGGAATGATCACAGAGTAGTATGAGAATCATTCCTCCCCATGCCTCCATTTGTGGTTAGCCTATTAGAGTCTGCAAATGCATCATCATCAGAGCAAAGGCAACTCTTTCATCTTTCTTTGGTTGCTCCTCTTACACAATAACACTCAGCCATCACCAGGTCACAGTGTCCCCCAGTGGCAAGATCTGTTCATTTTTCTGGAAAGTTTTTGGCAGCTTCTGTAATGAAGAAATATTCTAAGAGTAGAGAAATACTGCTGTAAGGGTATATTGGAAATTTAACCACCCTCATAAAAATCCCTGGAAGATTTTACAGATGTATTCAGTCTGAAAAAGGTTAAGAGAGATGATTAAATACCCCAAGAGCGACTCATCTCCAACTTTTTCAATCAAAAGCTAATATTGTAGAATCCAGAACTGGCTGACTCCTGCCTGTTAATTGTTTCGGTAAACTGTTTTCTTCTCCCTGCTGTTATTTCAACCTAAATTGTATCATTCTTCCAACAAAATGGAAGTGATATTATAAGCTGTTTGGGTGTAGGAACTGTACTCTTTTCGTCTTGCTAGACGTTTTCTGGAAAACACCTTCCAGATCTTGGCAGTGGGAATGATGTTGACCTCAGAAACCCAGGGATGGGGGATGAACCCATTGCCCTTATGTTTAGAAGAGGTCTGACTCACCCTCAGTGCAAAACTGCCATGAATCCTTTTCTGCTTTTACACTGAGCGCGTTGGTTTTCTTTGCTCCTGGCCACTATTTAAATACAAAGCAGCATTTATTGATATTTATATTTTTACAAAGGCAGCGCATGTAAGTCTTTCTCAATCCTGCCTGCCCCCCCCCCAAATTTTATATTTCAAATATGCATTTGGGGAGCTTCAATTCCAGTGTTGAGGCAGAACAGCGATAGAAGCACAGGCATTTCTACAGCTGCTTCATTAGAGATATTTATGGCCGAACCAAGAATTTGGAAGTTCTCAGCTTGACGGAGAATCAGCTATTCCAGGGGTTGTTGAACTACATCTCTCAGAACCCTCCACTACCGGCCATGCTGGTTGGCTGGGGGTATAATCCCATAACAGTGGGAAGGCTGGTGCCCCCCACTCTTGGCCTAAACAAAGCCCATCATGTTTTTAAGGAGAGTAGTCCACAGGGATAAGTCAGACAAAGCAAAAATCCTTCCCAGAGAGGTCATGAAAAGGTGGCCAATGCTTTTTGGCACTTTCCATATCGAAGAGAAACCATTCATTATACAAACCACAAAACTGTTTGGTTTTGATTGAGATGCATTGAAGAAAACAAAACCCTGCACTGCTACAGAAGGAAGATTACCGTAGCCCAAGGATCTGAATTCTCACGATGCTGAGAAGCCGGAGTTTTCAGTCCAGGAGAGAAACTCCAATAAGTCATTTTCAAGGAGGCCCCCAGATGACTGTTTACAGCATAAACTGAATGGCCGGGAGTATGTGAACGACAGACAGTTTTATTCAGCCCCAAAGCTTTTGCAGACCAAATCCACTTGATCAGAAACATGCCAAAGACGGCCCTTGATGTGTCTGCTGTGGTGGGCTTGAGTCACATCTGGAAGCCTGAACAGCAATGCCCCGAGAATACATTCTCTGACCTGCCGATCTTTCGCATCCCCACAACATACACCATTCCAGAGCAATCCCATAATGGCTGATGCTGTTTGTTAATCACAAGCAATATATTACAGCAATGGCCACGTATCTCTTTAATCTGTTTTTGATATAGATCTGAATTCTATCTGCTTCCTTGTTCCAGAGATTCCTTTAGATAGTAACCTCGGCTGAAATTGAGGGTGGAAGTCTTTTCATCCTGTTTCAATCTCTTGGAGGCCGTGGACAGTGTTCGTCTGGTATCTTCTCCGCACTAAGCTTCCATAACTCCTAACAAAGGAAAGATACTCAAAATTCTTTAGGGTTCTCATAGGACTGTACCGTTATTTATGAGCATGGGAGAGCAGAAGGAAACATCCTCTAACCTCTGCCATTTCTTATGGGGCTTAGGAACAATAGTATCTGCAGGGAACCATGAACAGTAAACCAGGATTTGGTGCTTGTGGGTGCTTAGAGGCTGTGAGTACCTCTGGCGTGCCTGCAGAGTATCTGCTTTCTTCTCAAATTAAAAAATAAAGGATTTTGGGTACTCAAAACAAAAAAGGGAAAGGGCAACCAGGGGAATGACAGCAGGATAACCAAGGGCAGATTAAGGATGGTCACCCAGGGAAAAGCTGAGGGGAACTCAGAAGAAGGGGACTTAGGCAAGTGGGACACGGAGAGATTGCAACCAAACAGGAGGTCTTGAGGTTGGCATTTGAACGCAGCGTGCCAGGTGAGGATCTTGGAAGTCAGCAAAATGAGCAACTGGGGTGACTTATTTGCTGGCCATGAGCACTTGGAGATAATGTGGAGGATGCTCTTGAATAACAGAAAGGAGTCCAAAGTGCAAAGAAGGGTTTGAAAGAAGCAGTTGCGCTCTGAGGCTTGGAGCTCACTGAGTTACTTGGTTTTTAGCTTCTTTCATCAGCCTACTCTCCTAGATGTTTTGCAACCAGCTATGCCAAAAATAGCACTTTTCATCAAAGACATTGTGTGATCTCTGATTCTGTCCCAGAACAGTACAGAACGTGCAAGCCTTCCAAATATTTGGGCCCAACTGTTGGCTGGAGAGAGGACCCTCCTTTTCGTTTCCTATTCATTTCAACTCCCCCCCCCCCGAGCTTTACATTATGCTGCAGACAGTGAAACGGCATCTGGGTTAAGCCTGTCTTTTTTGCACACTTGATCAAGATGCAATAGCACTCAAGCTGCTCTAACCGATCAGCCCTAAACTCTTCCTAATGAGATTAAATCAGAGGTGGGCTGCAGAATTTTACACCATTCTGTACAATGTGCTTAAGTTCTACAGTAGTCAGGTCAGCATGGAAACGTTATAAAAGGGCTTACTCAATATTTGTCTTTCTTTGTACAGCTCAGAGCTTCAAATTTGGGCTTCCAGCAGGGGAACATTTTGTAACTGTTCTTGTTCAATCCAGGTATTTTTAGACTGCTCTTATATCAAGCTGGCACAACAGCTCACAAACAGAAAAGTCGTATCTTAAAATCTAATGAGTGTTTTCTTTGTTTCCGTTCTCTATCTGTATGTATAGGAAACAAGGGGCCTGTGAAGAGAGACTGAATATGCTGCTTTATCAATTCAGCCAGGTAATGAGTTATAACACAATGGTGACTTGTTTTATGATCCTGACTTTCTACCACTTGTATGATTAAAACAGATAATTAGTTTGCCAACACGGATACCCACCAATTGTGGAACGCGCTCGTAAACAATATGCTGCGGAAAGGAAAGGTCTATAGGCTCAATACTGTATCTCATCTTGCCATCTCTGGTTTTCAGCAGCTCATCCAGAGTACTCCGGAAGTGATTATAGGCTTCGCACACAACATCCATGTGTCTTAAAGTGAAATTGAACCTGGCCAAACACACCCAAGAAAATGTCTCAGAACAATTTCAAAAGATTTTTTTTTCTAAAGATGGCTGCGTCTCCCCCCAGAATGACAGCAAATGGCTTTATATGTTGAATCAACCTGACAGCGAATGCTTGCGTTAACAGCAAAATCTTATGAAGAACCGGCAAATTGCCTGTACTTAGATAACACTGCCAAAGGAAGAACATTCTGTGTTGTTATTGTCTATTGCTGCCTCTCTGTACTGACGTTTTTCCGTCAAACTTCTAGAAAGAGATCACTTAAATGTCAGTTTTATTCGGCTTCAAAAATTAGAACGAGATCAAATCAAGACAATGAAGTCAAATGGTAGAGTGGGGGGGAGGGAGAGAAAAAAGTAACTCCTCTTGTGGAATTCAGAACAGAGTACAAGAAAAGTCATGCCAGGATAAACTAAAGGCCCTTTCTAGCCTGGTCTTGTTTCCCATAGCAACAGGCACTTCAGAGATATGGTGCCTCGGATCCTGGAGGGAAGATGCAGACATCACAACTAACAGCCACCCCAGAAGCAAGCTCTGAACATCTGCATATTTCTCCTTGATCAGGGAAAACGTCTATGGGTGAACACAGTCCTAAGAATGTTCTCCTAGGAATAAAATTATCTAAATAACTGGTTGGTATGTTCGTACATGGATTATTTGAGGCTGAATACTTTGTGTTGGAAGGAGTTTTGGCAACTCTGAGAAGCAAACATTGCCCTAGTTGCAAGCTGTGTTTCTTGCTTGGTTTGTGACAAACAAGACCTATCCATACTATGGTTTATTTTCCACTTAAATTTATCACCCACCTCTTTTCCATAGAGAAGTAGATGGTGCAAGAGTTCCTCAGGTTGCTAGTGATTCGGTACAGTGTTTTGAAAAAAGCATCTGTTAGGTCATCATCATAAAATACTGCAATATAAAAGATAAAATGGTAAAGGTTTCAGGGTTATCCAGATTGTCCCCACCGAAGGATTATCTTCCATTTTAAAGCTGATGTATAAAATAAATGGTTGTTCAGGATCAGCCTTGTAGGATAATATAAGCAGTTACTTCAGGTTCTTCTAACTGGCACACCAGGAAAAGAGAAGAGAGGACAGGACATCTTGTAAGTGGAAGAGGCAGGCATGGCGACACTCGCACACTGATCTTCAGGGTAGCTACACATTTGGTTTTTAATTTCACTGGCAGCCTTTTATGCAGTAACTCGCTTAATGAACAGAAAGATGCTAAACTCTTCCAGTCCTATTTTCCCCAAGGAGCCTTTTATAAGGAACATTCCAAATGTCAATTAATAATTTCCATTACCGAATAACACAATTTCTCCCAGCAATGATGTTAACTTCCTAAGACTAACATGAGGCTTTCTCACCACTACATTAAATTCTGGTAATTTTTTTTTTTTTTTTGCTTAATCTCAATATCGTTATCTGAAAAGTGGCTCCAGTTATAGCTAGTTTACTTACTTTAGAATGGGATATGCTTTTTCATTTTTTTTTATTATCGGTTTGTGATCACAGTATGGCTTACCGAATTTTTTAAATGATTCCAAACACCTCGTTAAAAAAACATACAGGTTTGTATTAGAGCTGTGCAAATAGGTGACTGTGATTTGATAGCTATTTGATCACTCTAACAGTTCAATCCAAATTTCTAATCCAATTTGAAATACAAAATGAAATTGGACTCTGTCAAATGGATTGGGAGCCAATCCCAAGAACTGAAAGGTTTTTGCTCATCCTTCCCTGACGCCACTGTCAGCTGAATCACCTTTCCCTGCACCAACCTGATTCTGAAATTTAAATGTCATTAAGGCCGATGAGCATACCCCCGCTTTTATAGCTAGGACCCATTCTCAAATGTGTTCATACCATCAGCAGCTAGTATCACAGTGGTGAGGTCATGCAGCTCAGCGATCTCTTTTTCGGACCAGCTGAAGCAATCCTCAGGATCTACGGCAAGATGAAAAAAATACATACAGCATTTGCACGTATTTTGTACAGTATCATACTTCAAATTGTCTAAAGACTGCACATGGAACTGAGAAACGAGTCAGATTCTATCTGCAGGCTTACAATTTAAATTCCATGCTGTAAAATTTTTTTACTCTCCCCTATGACTTCAACCCATCCCACCCGATCACACAGAGAGGGCATGCTTTGGACCCCCTCAGTCAGTGTTGTCCAAACTTGGCCACTTGTCTTTAGACAATTTGAAGTATGATACTGTACAAAATACGTGCAAATGCTGTATGTAGTCTTTAGACAATTTGAAGTATGATACTGTACAAAATACGTGCAAATGCTGTATGTAGTCTTTAGACAATTTGAAGTATGATACTGTACAAAATACGTGCAAATGCTGTATGTAGTTGAAGTCCACTCATCTTAAAGTGGCCAAGTTTGGACAACACTGCCCTCAGTGAAAGAACTTTGACTGGTGGGGTCCAGAAGGCAGGCCTTCTCTGCAGTAGCCCCTGCTCTTTGGAACATCCTGCCTGCTGGAGATGAGATTAGCCCCCACACTCCTGGCCTTCTGTAAGGCTTGGAAGACATGGTTCTGCCACCTCGCCTCGGGTGGGGTGAGAATACAAGCATGGGGATGGCTAGCCCCATAGAGGCCTCTGCCTTCAACC